GAAAATCAGATACTGAAAATTGTAATTAAAAATAGGAAAATTTGTGCTGGGTACTATGGGTACCCATGGTTAGTGTTCTTTAAACAATATTTTATTGAGAAACAAAAGTTAAAAAATCTTGTTTATTTAAGAAATTCATGCAGTACTGATAACAGATTCTATTTACTTGTTGACATTGAGATTAAAATTTAAACTATTTATACTAGTTACTTTCGTACTGTTGTTCCCATTTGTATAATATTATCTCAACGTTTCGACCGTTGTGCCTTCCGGACATCATCCGGTTTATATCGACCGGAGTAACCTACGCGTATTCTAAATTGAACCATTTATTTAATGACAGCAAGACATCAACAACAACAGTAGCCAAACGTGACAAGCAGTAGCTGTACGAATCAGTAGGAAGGTTAGGTTTATGGCTCCAAATTCACCTCTGAGAATTTTACTACTAGAGAATAGCCTAGTGGATTTAGTTACATAATAACTGTGAGTTCAATCCTTGTGTACATTGTATTTGGGCTCAGTGGAAATGGGCTTGCTCGCACACCGGCCGAAACGAGCATAAAAGTCCAAATATATATAGTGTAAGATATGATAAATCCTCTTCCTAGAAATTTAAACTAAAATTTAAATGTATCTAAACTTTTACCGCCTTTAGTGTGACGTTCTTGCTAATTTATACTTGACGACAGTAAAATATAAATATAATATATTATATTTATTACGAGAGAAAAAGAAAAAAGAAAGCAAGTATATAAATATGATGAATTTCAAATCTAAAAAAAAGAAAAAAAAAACTTTGTCTTGACGCCTACCACAGAAAATATCACTGCTTGGGGAACCGGTTATAACTTAGACAAACTGCACAAAATTGACAACGTTTCCAAATTTAATATAATCAATAAAACAGAGATAAATCTATGGTACTACAATCGATTTATATTTATATTCGAATAAGGAAGAAAAATTCCAAAAAAAAATTAAATGACGAACAAACAGGAAAACGGTGAAAAATCAAAATGGAGGAAATAAAGAAAAATTTACAGGAAAGTGTCAGAAGAGGTGCTAATGTCTGTTCAGACACTGGCCATCCTGCTTAGAAGAAAGCAATCAAGAATATTCAGTTATTTATAATTGTTTGGCTAATGCAGCGGCTGGGCCAGAATGATCAGCTATTGGTCGGAATATTTCGTGGGTGTGATATTCTGTTAATGATAGATTGTCCTTCTCTAAATTTTGGATATAAGACCGAAACAGCACGAAGTCGGTAGAGGACCGCAGGAATTTTGATGCGTCGACTCGCTTCCCACACCCAGTCTCCACAGATAGGCTGAGACCACATGTGGAGGGACGCTAAGCCAATGAGCGTCATGATATTCCTCCTACCGATGCTTCCTAGAATCGATGATAACATGTCTGTCACTTTACTCTAATAAAACGAATGAGAAAAAATATCTTTAATTGGTACAGTATATGAAGTGGCTTTGATGTTCGAGGGGCTGAATCCAGTAGCGACAGCGAACGCCACACTAGAATCATGTCACGTATCCTTATGAATTTAGCAAAGATAATTTCAGAATCGGACAATAGACAAATACGTAAAAATTAAAATTCATGTGCCTTTAGGAGTATATTAGAAATTATTATGAATATTTATTTTATTTTCCTCCGCTGATGGCAACTGATGAATATATGTATATAACTATAAATCTTTTTTTTCTATGTACTGTGTCTCTTCAGAACGCTCATGGCTCTCCACAATTTCCTCTCAGTTATAGTTCTTAATCTGTCCTGTGAGTATCAAATTGTTCAAGACCCCATTATGCGCCTTAGAAATATCAACTGTCTCTTTCTGTATGTGTTCTTTTTCTTCCTTTTATCTAAAACTTTCTCGTTGCTCCTATGTTTGATCTATGGTATCCTCAGCATCCTTCTATATAACCAAATTTCTCTTGCTTCAAATCTCTTCTTCATGTGTGAGGAGATTGTCCAGCATTCACGGCCATATAATAATTTAGTACTTTTTTTATTTCGTTTCGAACCAATTTTATCTGTTTCTTAATATTATTTTTTCTGTTTCGTAATACTTTGCTTAGATTGCGGAAGGCAAGTGACAAGTATCGCTTAATTACAATGCCTTTTAGAACGTGTAATTAACCTTCTTTTTCTAATATTCTTTTACAAGAATGCAAAGAATCAAAATGTATTATAAAATCATAACGCTATCCGGTTTTTTTCATTTACTAATCTAATACTGTAAATGGAATAAGGAAACAGAAAATACACCATGGTGCTCCTATTAACCCCTGATAACTGTTCGCCTGGTCTCATGACGACGCTAATTGGAACTTTGGGTGCATTGTGGTCGGAATATATATGTATATGCTTCTATGTTATGCTTCTAGTTATTCAGGACTTGTAATAGGGTTCGTGTGCGGCACATACTTGCTGAGTACTTGGACTCCAGTTCTACCGGCGGATATATAAAGATATCCCGGGAGTGCTCATGTATTGGGTCCACTGTTTTCCCTACACATGTCATTGACCGGTGACTATTACACTCCATTGCTTCGTGAAAGTTCTTACCTAATCATAAGCAATAATGGGCTGTTCCTGCAGGATAATCTAAGTTTGGACCCAAGTTACACTAAATTGATTTGTGGGGCATTCTGAAAACCCCAACGAATGATGCGTATATTGCATCACGTGAACCAAATCGAGAATTTAACATATCCGTAGATAGGTCTATGACACACAAGATACTACAGCTATAAATATCAGGGAGATCTGGATAGCAATCGAGACGGCATGGTTCAACATCGCCACTGTGGTCTTCCGATCACCTTTGAGATCGATGTCATGTTTAGCTTCAATACGCCGGCCTAGAGAAGTTGTTACACAATACCTGACAAATGCGCTACGACTTTTGCAACGACCCTATAATGTTATATACGCCGAATTTAATAATTCTTTATATCTAGTTCTATCTACGCAATGCCTTAGCATTTATTTTTCATTTTCCTGGTATGTGTGGCTTCTTACGCACAATTGTATAAAACTGAACAAAGACGACCAACCTGAATTTACGATAATCCTCACGCAGCCATAAGTATTCTTGCATTATTCTCTGCATATAGATTCGGAGTTCAAAGCTTACTTACCTGAAAGAAAAGAGGAGAAAAGGAAAATATGAACAGAGATTTTAGTTTAAGCACAAAATGAGTATAAATACATACAAATGAGAACGAGTTTTCTTTACTTGGGAATTTAAGTTACACTTAATCCTCACGAGTAGAATTATTGGTAGAAGGAAGAAACAGAAAAGTACATTCCCAAAAAGAAAAGTGTTCAAATGAAAGATGTCGAACAAAAGAGCAAGCATAAAAGAACGTAATATTTGAATGAAGTATTTTTTTTTCATATTCCGCCTTCCTTTACTTATGAAAGAATCACTACAGAAAAAAAAAAAAAAAAAAAAGCTTAAAGGAGCATAATTATGTTTGCACAAATCCGAAGAGCAAAAGATACCATGTTGCTGATAAAATTAAAAATTTTCAATATTAGGAAAATTAATAACAATGTGTAAAACGTTTTTGAGTAACACGATCCGTGTACATATATATATATCCCACATATATAAATATCTCTCTCTCTCTCTATATATATATATATAGAGAGAGAGATATATCTATATATATATATATATATATATATATATATATATATATATATATATATGTATATATATAATTATTTTTTATAAAAAAACATTTATAACATAAATATGTTATAAAATCACTGCAAAAATAGCCATTTTGTTTCAACACCCTCGGTGTCTTAACAAGTGATGATGTTGATATATATATATATATATATATATATATATATAATGGAATAACGATATATACATTTTTATATATCAAGAAAAATATTGGGAAAAAATATATGACAAATTGGAAAAAAAGCTTTTCGTGTGATGCGCTTCGTCCTTTAGGCTAATTGTCACAAAGAATACATAGGAGACAAATCAAGGGATTATTAAATTAACAAAAACGGTACATTTTACAAAACAATACATCAAATTCAGTGGTTTCTCACCGTAACGAGATTGAACACAATTTTAACATAAAAATGCTACTCTTATCAAAGAAAACAACTCACTATGACGAAAATGATTCGAGAGTGCCTTGTGGACTATTAGATAGCGGATTGAGGAATCGGGGAGCCGATTTCGAATTCCAGCCTAATCCAATACATTCACTTACGTGCTAATAAACTATGGGTAAATAGCGGAACAGACCGGGTTCTATAGCGTTGGATGGCAACTGGTCTGCCGCGGAAAGAAATGTATATGTATCTGATTGCATTACATTTACATTTTGTGTAGTTATTGGAGGGTAACCTGTGTTTTAAACTTATAGTGTGCCCAGAATTATGCCCACAAAGAAATGAACCAAATTTTAACCTCATAGGGATCAGATGCACACCATTCTGAGCATTCAGCTTCCCATATTTGATGTTGTAATGCAGTTCGCAAAAATAGTTATTGTTCTAACGTAATTCGCAATTGAAAATGGAGTCTGCTTGTCAAAAAGAATTATAAATAGACACTTGCATTTTTCGCGAAAATTCCTCTATCTTTTGGATAATAATTTAAAATTAAATCTAGAATAATACTTCAATCAAAGCACAGAAACATGCAGTATTCGAAGACTTTAGGGGCATCCTAACTAATAATAATAATAATAATAATAATAATAATAATAATAATGATAATGTTTGATTGATTGAATCGTTTTCTTTGCAGGTTATTTAAAGCCATATTCTGGAGATAACTATTCAGTGATACAAGTTTTACTAATTAACCCATAGATAGATTCATCATCTTCCCAAGGATATTTGCGCTTAAGAAAATATAACGAATACAACTGAGTTTGAAAATCTGCTTCCTGATTAACAATTCGAGCCATTATCCTTTGAACTACCCTTACATCCCTAAGCTTACAGCACCTGGCCTCCCCATACTGTCACCCACCTAGGTACTGACCAGTCTCGACGTTGTTTAACTTCGGTGATCGTACGGGGACCGGTGTTTTAACACGATATGGCCATAAAGCGACAACAATAAAAGGTCGCAATGGAGATTACAAGATCATTGTGAACGATGATCATGTCAAAGGTTGCATAGTCTGTGCTACATGAATGATACATAAGGTTTTCAATTTATGAGTTTTCCTTCTCCCAGACTAGTTACCAACTACACCTAGAGAGCTATGTTTGCCCGGCTATTTAACCCACACCTGGCAGGAGAATAGAGGAATTCATACATTTTTCAAAAGTAAAAGAGAAAGATTTATACCTTTTACGAAAATGAAGGAAATGAACGTCGCTCGAAGATCTCTTTTTTGAACCGTTAACCATTAAACAAACTGCACATCCCTAAGGCAACTATTCGTTAACTCAGTATAGTCTTAGGTGCGATTTAAGATAAACATGTAACTGAAAACATATGTTTATTTACGATTAATAAATATATATATCTAAACTTTTCATCTGGTTCTCCTTTCTTTTGCCAGTTATATTTTTTCTTGCATCAGAATTTGTATATTTATTCAGCAATGCCTGTTTATTGAATATTACCTAGCCGATTTTACTCAAGAATGACCTCCAATTGAGGAAGTTATAAACTGAGAACTCCAATTTCAAAATGTGTAATGCTATAGATTTTATAGAATATTTTCACTTTTGCCTAATTCTTTATAATTCATTTCAATATATGAGTAACATTTTTTGAATAAAATTGATGCCATAATAATAATTATAATAGTTGCCAGATTATGGGACCTTTAGGCTATTATTGCCCATGATAACATTCTGGCCTTGTAGTCTATACTACTTAACTTTAAGTTCACTTGCAGTGATCCCATAGTTCCAATGTTAACTAGAATATTAATGGCCTGAACGTACAAAATGCTTATATGAGAAAATTGTAAACATAAATTAAAACAAAAATCCGAATAACACCTCGTATCCAATCGCCTCAAACGTTTGCCATGCTTGGCACAACAAATATTCTGTGAAAGGTGTTATCTGTTTAATGCCGTACGTTTTGTACCATATGTTCCGGTTGAAAATGATAAACCGCGTGGAATGTGTACAACATAAATAAATTTATTAATAATATGTCTGCAAGATACATTTTCTGCTAGTAATGATAATTTCTCATTACCAAAATTCAAATAGAAACAGTTTCCAAATGATTAAAATTCTTTTTATATTTCGGAGAGTTAATCTAGCTTGTTAACGAGAATTTAGACGCAAATATACGTGGAAAATTTGACGTAATTAATAGATTAAGAATCATCCCGGGGAGTGTCTGCATCATTTAATACCATTAATGTATTTTTTCATTAATTGTATATATCATTAAATAATGTCATGCTGGTCTTAAATTTCTATGATATTTTATGGAAATGAGTTTTCGTTATCTTGACATGAGGTTGTTCTGATCATGAATCAAAAATCATTTTGATTGGAAAAAGTAGTAAACGCTTTCCTTCTGTTGATTTGAAGAGTTTAGAGTGCGTCTTTTATGGACGAAAACTTTAGTATAATGTGTAAATGTGTGTAGGGTTTATTTTATCTCGAAAAAGTATTTGACTGTTTCGGGTCATCAACAATATTAATAAGGAACTACTTTTTTGTTGGGATTGTTCGAAAACGAAATTGCTAGCGTGTCCACGTTACCTTTTCATTATTTTATATTTTGTCTTTAGACATGAATATTTACCATAATCAGGAGAAACACAAACATATGCCGAAGCAAAAAAGGAACGCTAAAACAAAATCCTTATAAATGAAAAGAAAACACTAAAAAAACATTAATTAAAGTATGAAATCGTATATTTCTTACGGGATTCATGGACATTTATTTAGAGACTGAATGTCAAGTCGGATTCGTTTTCCAGTATCAAATGTCACGTAAATGGGAAAATGAAAATTAGACGTAGAACTACACATTTTATGGGTCGAAGGCACGGATCGGGGGACTATTCCCAACAAAGATTTATTGTTGGTTTAATTAAATGAATAATTAGCTTCTGCCGTCGAATGAGGAGGTCTTATTTGTAATTCGGTCGAAAGAGTCCCAAAATGTCCACAGTGAGCCATGTATCAGACGACGTATTTCAGCGACCAATAGTTAGAAGTGAGAACAAACTCTTACGCCACATTCTGATTTCTGTTTTTCACACAGAAGGGCGAAATGGATTTGGATGCACGTGTAAATAAAACACAGTGACTCAACGATAGAGGCATTCGTCAAAGTGTCATAGATAAAATGAAACAACGTCAAATACTCCGTCAAAAGGGGGGGTTGTACTAACGAAGTGGGGGGGGGGGCAGCGCGCAATTTGATAATGAACATTTGAAGAAAAATAAGGCTTATAATGAGAATCGGAAAGAGACAGTTGAAAATTTGGGACATAATAACGAGGAACGATATTGAAGTCAAGAAAAACTGAAGGAAACCGCGAATAAGATAATTAACGAGCTTGTGTAAATATTTGCCACAATAGGGACTGCGAGAGCTAATAAGGAGACAAACATCATGTAGAGTTATAAAATAAAGATTGGTTTGGCGAGCCATGATCTCTCACGTCCTGAAGGGTCACGGTATATATAATTAAAAGAAAATCTGTGAAATGCATCAAATTGTACATCTGGTGAGTAATATTTAATACATTTTTGAGAACAAATATGTTTTGTGTTCACTGGTTTATGAAGAAGTTTCCCAAGGGTTTATACTTTAAGTTGGAATGGTTAATATTTATTCAAATGAGATTCTATTACGTCTAATCTAGAAAGTGGATAAATGGTAAAACAAAAAACCCATATCACCCCTCATCTCGATTTCAATCTATTTCCCAACGCCGTGACGTATCTTCCCTGGTAACTCTTTGATAAAAAAAGTCACGGTAATTATTCTGATGAACTTTCCTCTTTAAATATATACACACACACACATATATATATATTTTTAATTGACACTATTTTGTTTAGCTTCTTGTATACAAAATTGCAGGCATTGGTGTTTCATTTTTAAAAGTTGTTATTTTGATACCCTTCCCCCCACAAATTGTACATATGGGGACTAATTAGAACTTTTAGAAAATCTAAGGTATTGGGGTAGCTGTAATAAGAATGGTGAGTAAGAATGTCTTTTTTTGGTACAAGGAATATATCGTAGCTTTTGGTCAGTGGTTGTGGCTAGGTAAGTTTAAGACAAGACAGATTTTGTAATTTACAAGACAACTTTTGTAATTGACACGAAATAAATATCACTTTCTTCTATGGTACCTAGATAAATTCATGCGCAATACTAGTGGGTGGGAAGGTTTCATCACATGAGTAGATGTGTCCGTAATTTCTATGCTAACAGTTTTTTCACACTTCTTGATTGTGAAACTCTCTTCCAGCTTCTTGGTTACGATTCAACTTTGATCTTCAATAATTTAATTGCAAAGCCAATGGCTATCTTCTGTGTTTTTAATGTCTGTTTTTTTTTTATTTCTCTCCGTAATAATATTTTTCTCTATTCCTTTACACTCATTAACTCCCTGTGTCTTAGTGGATTTAGTCTCTTGCTTGGAGTGAAAAGATTAAAAAAAAAAACAGACATAAAATTATACCATGAAATTATTATATATAAGTGCAACAAGAATGCTTAAGAATCTCGTTTAGCAATCTTATATTCTTCAACCATAAAGAATTGAGAGAACAGTTAATTAAAAGATGCTAAAAATGCAGGATATTAAAAGCATTAGCTAACGATATGAAGGCAACCAAACTACTATCTTTAAGTAAACATCATAAAGAAAACATTCTAAACTAAAGATGAAGAAGTACAAGAAAACTGATTTCTGAACAGTAAGATAAGTGAGTAATGTAGAACTAGATTGGGAGGAAGATGGAGAGACAAGTGATTGGTTCTCTTACGGAAATACCCTTGATAGTTTAGAAAAATTATAACCACAATTTTTTTTTATTTTATGAAGCTTTATGCAATTAAGTTAAAGAAAGTATTCTACCTTTTGTGATCTCTTTTATGGTGCTCTAAATTGATCATTTAAGAAGCATGCTAAACTGCTTAGACCGTGTAATAATAATAATAATAATAATAATAATAATAATGAGAGAACAAATCTTTATACATAAATTCTACAATGACAACTTATGCTACCAAGACATTGAAGCTATATTACGAGAAACAGAAGTTCTTCAAAGATTTATTATTGCTGGGCACAACCATAAAAACTTAACATATTCAGAAGACACCGTATTGGTGTTAGTCAAAGAAAGAAACAATGAATTGAAACCCTGGCAAAAGGACACATGGGGGACAACTTATGAGATAGGATAACTTAATCAGAGAAGAAAATGACACTTGAAATGATCTCTGGCGCTATACAACTAATTTTTTTCTTTAGGCATTCAACCCCAAGCAAGACGGAAAGCCACTAGCAATCAAAGGGTTTCAGAGTGGAACAAAGAGGAGTGACAGAGGAAAGTATGAAGAGACGATTAAATGATACATCATGGCATCTGGAAACGTCGATCGACATTTGAATAGTTGGAGATTATCAGGAAAACAAGAAAAAGGGAGGGAGTTCTACAGGCGAGAAATGTGAGACATAAAGCTATTGGAGTAGAAGAGATTGATTCATTTAAGAGTTTCGACAGTAAAAGGGTGTGAGCGAGATCCCAGCCTCGTTGAACGCTTAAATTCATGAAGTCTGGGAACCAGCGAAAGCAGCTCATCGGAGCAGTTACCGTGAAAGTATTTGTAAAAAGGACAGAGGGAGGCGACGGCATGTCTGTGAGAGAGCGGCTGCAGATGAGATGGCAGATTAGCGCCAGTTACCTTGCATATCCGTCTTTGGATTTTATCAAGAACCTTGAGACAATTAGAAGGGGCTCCAGGCCATGTATGGCAGCAATGCTACATGCAAGGGCGAATGGTTGATTTGTAGATTTGAAGGATCGATTCCGGCGAGAAAAACTTCCTGGCGTGGAATAGGGAGCTAACTTTCCTAACGGTGGACGAAGCTATTG